TTCTCAAAATCTATAGTCATTTTTTAAAAAAATGACTTTTCATACTTTTACAAAGTCGTTGTAAACTTAAATCACTCAAAACCAATGTTTAAAAAATCTATGTTTAGTTTCCTTTCAATCCTTGCTCTTGATCAACCAAACAAGCGATGATTTACGGTAGATGCATGATTTTGTGTCATAAGATCAAATTTTGACCTTGATTTGTAATAGGTCTTCTTTTGATATTAGTTCTTGTTTAAATTAAGGTAATTATTGCTCCAAAATACTCTTAATTCTTTTCTAAAGATTCCTATATTAATTTTTTTCTTATCTATATTATTGTGCCTCATTTATGGCCTTGCAAAGTAAGTAGAAGTTTATTTTGCAAAGAAGCAACATTAGCTATTACTAATTTTATTACCTCCTTTATTATTATTTATACTTCTAATGTATTTTTTTATAATATTTATAATATCTTTATATATATTATTCATCTAGTAGCTATATTACAACACAAAAATATTTAAAATCTTTAAAGATAATAAAGAACATAGATAATATTAGTAAAAAGATGTAGATTCTATATTATTTTTTAAATATTCATTTAAATTCTTATTTTAAAATATTATACAATATATATAAAGAAATAATATAAAAAATAATATTTATATTATTATATTATTATTTAATTAGTTTTTTATTTGAATCAAATATTAAATTTAACATCCAACATGATATACATTTAATATTCAATATTTAAAAAATTAAAAAATTGAAAGAAGTATTCAAGAAATATGAAAATAATATATTACCACATCTTTTATAAAACAAGTTTGAAAGTCAATTAAGTTTGTATAAACCATTTTAATACTAAAATAAGATAATATATATATAATTAAAAAACTTTATAGTAAGTAACATATTTTCAAAATACGTACTTATAAATAAATTAATATAATATTTTTTTATAATTTTAATCACTTTAAATAAAATAATCAAAGAATATAAGTTAAAATTAGATAGATTAATATATATATATATATATATATATATACATAATAAATTTTAATTTTAATTTTTAGATATAAGAATCATGATAGAGAAATAAATATAATTTTTAAAATATAACAAAAATAGGCTTATAATAATTTATTATTATAAAATAATTAATAAATAAATAAACAAAAAAACTATTCAAGTAAATTTAAAGAAGTCCAATTTTATAGTATGAGATGTGAATTTAAAATTGGATTTACATACAATCAAATACAACCAATTATAGTTCATTTAAGAATCTTTAGCAAGAAAAAATAATAAAACCATATTTGAAATATTATTCTATCATTTTTTTTAAATTTGCATATAAGACTTTTCTAAGCTCTCAAAATACAAATCCTACCAATTTTACGATTGATTTTTAATGAAGATCAAACTAATTTGGAGTTTCTTAAAACCTACTTTAAAAAATGTGTCACAAAATCAAAAAAATCTTTGTATTTATTATGTAATTTAAAGTCTAAATTTTTACCAATAAAAAAATTATCTATTCAATAATTGATTTTTTTTGGCTTCTAAGAATAAATGTGACCAAAGTATTGTATTAGATAGAAAAACTGCAAGCCAATTTTAATAGATATTATTTCCTAAATTTATATTTAAAAATAAATAAATAAATAAAAACATTAGAGAAGTCATTTGGTTAAAAAAAAACTCAAAGATGATGAAATTTTTATTTATCTTCAATCATAATCCAAAAAAAGAAGTAATATAGCATTTATATTATCAATGAATAGATAAAAACAAGTAATAAAACAAAATGTGGATAATACAGAAATATCTTATAGAAGTGCAAAAGCATTTTATTTACAATGTTACTGTTATCATTAATGTTTGAACACGCCTTCCAGTTCTAAACTTTAAAACATTTTTTTATGCTTTCTTTGGTTCAGATTTCAATTCTAAGATGATGACCAACTCCCTATTTCAACATGTGCAAACAAAACCAAAATATAGGTAAAGCATCTAATTTAGTTTAGCTTAAAGAATTTTGGTTTTGTATTATGTTTTCTACACATCAATTATTTATTTTGTCATAATTTGGAATAAGTTATGTTAAGCTACAAATTCAATTAAGAGAATGGCTAAAAACTATCAATTTGGAGAAACTAAACTATCAGTTTCGAGCACAGGCCAGGAATTTTTGCACGCAACTGCAGTGTGTAGGTTAGCTCATTATATGATAGCAGCTGTGTAGCTCAAAAATTGGCTTTGGCAACACAAGCACGAGCTGCTAAGACCTCCACATTCAATAGCTTGATTAGGTTCAAGAGTTGGGCTCATGAGATCATGTTACTGTATGTCAAACGAAACTTTCTAGCAGAGCTCTTGACGCACCGCAACATCAATGAATCCTGAAACGAGTAATAAAAAAGAAAACACTGAACGACCATTTGCAGAACGTAATACAATAGAATCTGTCATCAACGAGCCAACATGTGCACGACACCATCTTCTCTGTGCAGACGTTGACGCGAAACAAAATTCAGCATGTCGAGCTTGGATTGCATGTTACCAAGTCTGCTCCACAAATTACCTCCACAATCCTTAAAAAATGAATGTTCACCCACACTCTGTAACGAGTTCAACACAACTAGAACAATTTGCCCCCATAAAAATCAGAGGTTGAGAAGCAGAAGACGAATGCCGCGTGGATTGCACTCTAACAAGCATCTGCGTCGTTGATGTTGATCTCACAGCGGACAGGGGAACTATCCGAGTGTCATGTGTGGCGTGAGCACAAGAAACTCCAACCGAAAGTGCTCCACCTGCGAATTAGGTGAGAGATGAAGAAATTTGAACTTGGGCGAGGGCGGGGAGGAACAAACCCCGTGCTGGATGCTCGGAAGACCGTTTCGACTGATACGAAAGCCATTCATTTAAATTGCACCAATGAGGAGAGGACGTCCTGAGGATGCCATCAACCGCGTGGTCTTCTTTCCCCCAACGGTGCAATAAATTTGGTCCACGTCTTCTGGACCCACCCAACCCAAACCAGAAAAAGGTCTCCACTGTCACCAATTTCGGGTGCACTGGCGAATTCAGCGGGACCCGCGACACAGATGTAGTGAGTCAATACTACTATACATAGAAGACATAATGGGCGAGGTCTGGAAACGTGCGAATTCTTCGACACAACATCCCTTTGCCAAGTGCCCACTTCGAGGTATTGCATCGTCTTTCGAACCCTGGTTAACGCTAATGATTGCAGGTTTCGCGGCTTGCGAGTATGTCCCTGGACAAGCACCTAATTCCACCAAATCACACACCTAGGGCCCAGTGTTACTATCAAACAACCGACTCAAGCACCAACTGCACTTGCTCACGGATTGTCCTGCAAACGAAGAAGCAATTAACGAAAACGACGCGTCATTTTTACTGAACCCACAATTGAAAGCAAACTGAAACTTGACAGGAGAGAGAAGCAGCAGAGACCCCGGTTTAATCAATTCTAGTTCGGTGTCGCTGTTGCTGCGATTTTAAAGCATGAGGGGGAGAACCTGTGAGTATCTCCGACACTGAGGCGTAACTGATGAGATGAAGGGACGGCATTGAATAGGGTCATGCTCCAGGAGCTTGCTACTTGAACAGGCTTGGCGACAAGGCTCCGTGTAGTCATATCTCTTCAGCAGCCCTATTACAAATGTGTTTCATGCTCACTACAAGAATGATACTAATAGTGCCATACTATTGATAAACTATGAACACTAGACATTACGACGCAAGTTTGTTGCGATGTCTAAAGAAGTGGACAATGACGGATGTGCCTCCATTGTTATGGAATGTACCTCCTTCCTTTAGAAACTAATAGAAAAAAAAACAATGTCTGGTGTTTCATATTGAAGTTTATGAAACCCTAGATTGGTAACTAATTGTTGATGGCCATGGTATACAAGTAATAAATAACATAAATAACGAAACTGAAATGATTGTGTACAAGTTTACACTATTTTAAACTTGAAAACATAAAATTGCAATCCAAAACCGACATTCTCTACTTATTGATTGGTGTATACATAAAAATACTATCTTTAAAATAAATGATTGAATAAAATCCATGTTTTTTATTTTTTTATTTTTTTCATATTCATTTCGTATTCCAATGTTATTTTGATATCACACAAGTGACAATTGTTAATGACCCAGTTAAACTATTAAAGTACTCACTATTAAACACAGACGTTTGACTCTTCTTTACACATACATACATACATACATACATATATATATATATATATATATATATCTATAATCGAATCCAAACGCTCACACACATTTAGAAACAAAGATGGATAGACACAAGGATAGATTGGACTCTATATCTCGAACTGTTTGAATTTTTTCTTAAAATTAGGAATTGTAAAAGAAAAACACCAACTTGAACAACGAACAAAAATAGAACGAGTGAAAGTGGCATCAAAATAATAGCATTCGAGTGTGTCACTTGAGAATAATCAGTAAAGTGTTTTCTTTAGGAATGTGAAGGGCTTTCAAAAACGGAGTCAAGTGGATGACCACATATTTTCGCGTCTCATCTCCATTAAAGTTTCATTCATCTAATATTTGTTCAACCCACGCCCAATGAGCCTCCCAATTTGCCTCTTTAAGAAATAAGAAACATCTCTCTCTCTCTCTCTCTCTCTCTCTCTATATATATATATATATATATACTTTCCCCCATTTTCATATTCAAAATCTTACCGCCTCCTCGGGTGGTGCTCCCTCATCCAACCCGATCCGCATTCTCGTTCATCCACGACGACGTACCCGCACGTTTCTAATCCATCCGAAGTGAACGTTGTGAACTGGATGTTTCATGTATTCATCCATTGACGATACATCCATGAACCACATTCATCCACACGCCCGTGTTCGTGCGCAATGAGCCCAGAGAGAGCCGACGAGGAAAGCAAGCAAGCAAAAGACATTTGGGGGGGGGGGGGTGTACTCGTGCGAGGACGAAGAAGCTTTACCGGCCGTTGCGCCTTTGTCTTATGTCAGCTGCGAATCAGAGCCTCATCTGGCCATCTATCAGGGCTGCTTTTGGGTCTGGTGCTGAGTTTCTTCGAATCACGAGTTGGGTTTATGCAGTGTTTCGTGCGGTGCCGGGGGTGTGATAATGTGGTTTGGAGTTGCGTTTAGCGCGAGCTCGCTGTTGCGGAATGTGTGGATGTTGGTGTGGGGAGATAATTCACGGAGGTGGAATTTTGAAGGTTCAAGGGCATGCTTGCGGTGGTGTTGATAAGGAGTGCGTGATTAGCGGAGAGAGAAACCGAGTGTTGTTGGCAGAAAAATTCATGGTCGTTGTTAGTGAGAGAGAGAGAGAGAGAGAGAGAGAGAGAGAGAGGAAAATTGGATGTCGTTCCGCGCTGATGAGAGAGGGCGAGAGAGATATTTGTTGTGCTTACTGTGCGTTGCAGGAATGGTGGCAGTCTCCCCGAGGAGGTGAAATTTGCAGGGACTGGTGAAGATTCGTGTTCCTGTGAAGTCACTATGTATTCTACGAATGGCATTGAGGGGCGTAGTACATTAGAGAAGATGCTGGATTTCATGAAGACCGGTGACATTGAGGAAAGTGAAATCACAAGTGATGAGACTTATGCGGACTTGCCTCCCTTGCCTTTAAGACCATCATCCAGGGCACGCTTGCCATCATCCATGGGAGCTAAGAAAGCGCTGGGCGCGTGTTTAGATAGCATTGTGCTTTCGAGCAATGAGTCTGAAGCGTTCAAAGAAAACATCGCCGTGGGATCACCCATTGTAAATCTGGTGGCACCAGCTGATCCCGCAGCGCTAGCTTCGAAGTCCGTGACATGTACGAACGTTCACACACCTCTTGCTGAAAGAGTGGGCACTGCTCTCAATGAGAGCTTCGCCAGTCCTCAGCTCGCCTCCTCCCCTTCCATCATACCAGATGTTTTCACGCCGGCAGACCAAGTGCGCAGTAGTGGAACACTGAGCTTTGATCAAAGACTCGACGCCTGTGGCGCACAGGAATCAAGTTTCAGTTTTCTAACTGCACAAGAATCCTCCACACCTGAAACACCTCTGCCTCAGACTCCTGTCCTGGAAAATACAGCTCTGCCTGTAACAACTCCATCGTCTGGCAAGAAGTGGAAGGATGACGGTACACTGCGCCTGAAGAAGGTATATCTCTGCCATAGTTCCACAAGTTTGTATTGCCATGTTTCAAGTCTGTGTTGGCTGGGAGATGGGCCACTTGTAATGTAGACTTTTTACTTTGTCTTTGGGAACTGGATCCTACTCACAGCTTAAATGAGGGTTGAGATCCACCAGCAATTGTCGCTACACGCTTATTCTAACGCCATGCTGATATCTGGGAGTGCAGAATTTGCGAGTATGGTGCTTAACTTCTGAGTACAATTGGATTGCTGGAACGGTAGTTTCTGCTGAGGATAAGGATACAGAGGCTATGGTGCGCACTGCTGATCACAAGGTGGGATTCTGAACGTTACTTTGTTCTTTTCCAATTTTCAGGTCAATGCATTACTGAACTGGATACATGATTTTAGTGTTTGAACTATTGTAACAATAAGGAACGCTAGGCTACTTGTAGATAATATGGTTGTTCATTGCGTATTGACGCAGGTTATCAGAGTGAATGTCACCAGACTTCAACCAGCAAACCCTGACATATTAGAAGGAGTTTATGACCTCATCAAACTCAGCTACTTGAATGAGCCTTCAGTTCTGCATAATTTAGACTTTCGGTATGAGCAAGATAAGATTTATGTAAGTGCAAGCTGGGTCCTGATATCCTTTGCTTTCTCATCAATTTTTTTCACTGCGCACTCTATGTAGCAGCGCTGTGGCCGTGGCTGGCTGTGATGCCTGAAACTGAACACGAAGGTTATGCTTTTCAATGCACATTCTCCTACAAAACTGTCCCTGGTTTGCTTCTATGTCATTTCAGTGAAGAGTTTCGAACTTTTTCTCATCATCGACATGGAATATTGCTATGCAGACTAAGGCCGGTCCCGTCTTGATTGCTGTTAATCCGTTCAAGGAAATTTCCATCTATGGTCCAAACAACATCCTTGCCTACAGAAATAGAACCTCCGAAAGCACTTACCCTCATGTGTATATGACAGCGGACACTGCATTCAAAGCCATGATTCGAGGTACATATCCTTGGTTGTCCTGCAGTGGTGGATCATTACCTTTATTTTTCAGTTCTCTGATCAATTGTAATATTGATGCGATGTACATCTTCGTATCGTCTATCTCGATGAAGAGTGAAAGGTTTGTGTGATTTATCCTCTGTGCTGGTGCATTTGCAGATGGTATTAATCAGTCTGTCATCATCAGGTATGTTTTCATGAGTTTCTCAATTCTGAAACATCTTTGTCTAGCCACCAGTTTGACATCTTTGCCAACGTATCTACCATCGTTAAATTGTATTCGTACGTACTGTGTTACCTTAATTCAGAACTTTATTTTCGTTTTTTTCTTGTTTTCTTCCATTCTTTCTTTCCTCTTTTCACTTCTGCTTTTATTGAATTTTTATGCGTTTAATGTGGAGCTGTTTCTGATCCTTTTACAGCGGTGAGAGCGGTGCGGGGAAGACGGAAACAGCGAAAATTACCATGCAGTATCTAGCTGCACTTGGTGGCGGTGGTGGATTAGAAGACGAAATTTTGCAAACTAACCCGATTTTGGAAGCGTTCGGGAATGCCAAGACCTTAAGAAATGACAACTCCAGTCGCTTTGTAAGTAGATCGACTGCGTTTGTTAGTGTTGATAAGGATTTACAGGGAATCTCAAATATACATTCAGGTTAAGCATCTAGATAGTGGTCGATTTTGGATGCTGAAACAACACTTCCCTGTTAAATCCTAGGAAAGCGACAAAATCCGACAGGATCTCTTGTTTTGGAAGTACAGAGTCTTACTATCGATCAATCCGTTTTCCGTGTCCACAGGGAAAGCTGATTGATATTCATTTTGATAGAGCCGGTAAAATATGTGGGGCAAAGATTCAAACTTGTAAGCCTAATCAAAACTCACTTATTCTGCACATGGCTAGCTATGAGAAGTTTTAGTAGCTGTAGAGTAATTTTTTGATATACCTTTGATGTTTCTCTTTATTCTGTTTTTCTTGTACTTTGATGAGCTCAACATCACATCATCTTAACTTTGTTTTTTGTTTTGTGATTCTCACTCAACGCTTACACCTGTTTGCGAGAAGATTTATTAGAAAAGGTAGGCCATCTTGTGTTTGAGCTATTTGTGTATAGTTTACAAATCCTGCTGCGCTCACCCCAACACGCATAATAGAGCAATAATTTACTCTTGATCGGGTACATGATATTCAAATTGTGGCACAAAAGGTCTTTTCTCGAGAGCTGACTCGTATGATCGGTTATGAATGTACTAGTGGTTGATCCGGAAAATGGGGTGAATTTCTTTTAAAGCAAGCAACGTGTCAGTATCATCTTACGCTTTTTCCTTTTGTTTCTGTTTCGGTGTGGCGATTTCAGTCTCGAGTTGTACAGCAGGCTGAAGGCGAAAGATCTTACCATATTTTTTATCAACTTTGCGCTGGAGCCGACACAGCTTTGAGAGGTTGTAGAAACTGTCTCTTCTAAACCTCCTCTAGTTTAACCATTTCCTTTCGCTTGTCTATCGGAATGCGTATAAATCTCTTCTCATTGTTGTTCTTTTGTGCATCTCTGACTGCTCGCTGTGTCTTCGCTGGTGTAGAGCGGTTGCATTTAAAATCTGCGAAAGAGTACAAGTATTTGAATCAAAGCAGGTGTTTGTACATTGATAACGTTGACGATGCAAAAAATTTCCAACATATGAAGGTAAGTCCCTATGTTCATCGCTTTTGAGGATTAGCTGAAAGGACAGATGCTTCTAATCAATAACGTTGATTGATTCCTCTAGAGGCTCTCTGAACCCTTCAAGTCGTGCTTGACATGGACAATCCATTCAGTCGTTTCCATACTTCATTGTATTACATCTTCTCTTTTTCGGTGGCTCAGTATTCCTCTCTAAGAAGGGGACATTGTCTTGCAGAGTGCTATGGATGTGGTGCAAATCAGCGTGGAAGACCAGGAGCAAGCTTTTAAGATGCTTGCTGCAGTCCTTTGGATCGGGAACATCACGTTTCACGTTGTTGAGAATGATTCTTATGTCGTTGTGGATGAAAGTGAAGGTAACAAGAACTTTGTTGTGTAGATTTCTTCTCAAACATGTCCTAATTTTTCTTTACAAACGTGAGATCTATCTCAGCAGTGCAACGACGAAGTCTGTACTCTCCTTTTGATCTCATTTTAATCAATTTATCATTTCCTCTATGTGTGCAGCTGTGAATGTGGCGGCTGGACTGCTTCACTGCAAGTCCAATGCGCTGGTTGCAGCACTTTCTACTCGAAGGATCCGCGTTGGAGGCGAAGAAATTGTACAGAGATTGACATTTGCGCAGGTATCCTTCACACCTCTAGACTCCTTTCCTCAAGGAGTGAAGTATACTTGGCGCTGTTCGTTTTCAGTGACCGCAGTAACAGAAGTCAATGTGTTGGACTTGCACGCGCGTTTAATTCTTTTACGACTTGGCACGGGTTTCAAAGTCTGTAGCGACGTGTCGGACGTGGCTGCGGTGCCTCTCCGGTTTCCTTCTTTTCCTTTGTTTTTTATTTTTTATTTTTTATTTTTTTTTCCGACCAGGGAGAGAGATCCCGAAGAAGTCTTTTCCGTGGCCGGCTCTCTCGTGCCCGAGCTTGCAATGGGATACTTGCTTTCTGTTGAACATGCTATGTGCCTGAAGTTAATTTAATTATGTACTGAAGTTATATCACTCTAATACAACGGTTGAGATCAGAATACGTAAATAGACCGTTTCTTTCTCTAATCGACCTCTGGTTGCAGGCAAATGATTCCAGAGATGCCCTTGCTAAAGCTATCTATGCTAGCCTGTTCGACTGGTTGGTGGGACGTATCAACAAGTCTTTAGAAGTTGGCAAGAAGCCGACAGGAAGGTCAATAAGCATCCTGGACATTTATGGATTTGAATCTTTTAAGGTAAAACCTGCGTTTACTTTGGTTTGAAATCATGAGCAGTTCATAAACACTTTCATGTTGTTCCATATCGTCTCCTTGTGTTGGTGCAAGCGTTTCTCATGCATGAATACAACATAACGCATCTTTAACGCACCTAAACTCCTGGTTCGGCCTATCTCTCTTCTCGAGCATTTGGTGGGCAGGATTGATTTGCAGAGTTCATTAAGAAAGGGGTATCAGGACCTGACCAGGTCTTTTACAATGTCCACTGTCGAAATCCACTTTTCGTAGAATTTTTTTTGTCTCAAGCTTTACTATGGTTCTTGCAGAAAAACAGTTTTGAGCAATTATGTATAAATTATGCGAATGAAAGGTTGCAACAACATTTCAATCGTCATCTGTTCAAGCTTGAGCAAGAGGTAATACGAGGATGATTGTTACGGCCATGTTATCTTTCCCTGTTCGCACGTACTGATTTTGTAATTCTCTTATCTTCCCACTGTCACAGCATCTGTGTACTTCTCCCATTCCGGACTCAGTCACGAAATGCTACGCCGAACGATTAACAGAGGTCGGCTTTTTGCGTGAATTTTTCAGGAGTATACGTCTGAAAATATTGATTGGACGAGGGTGGATTTTGAAGACAATCAAGAATGTCTTGATCTTATTGAGAAGGTATGTATGCTTCGCATGACGTTATTCGAGTTCTTGAACTAATAAATGAAAAACTCTTGCGTCATGCTGCTAACTGTACATATTGGTTTATTTCGAATCCTTAACCATTAACTAATTTTAGTAAACGAGTTCATTTTATTACTAGAATATCAGAATGTGTGGAAGACTACGTCAGATTGAATGCAGTCATATAACCAAAATATTTGATATATGTGTGGTGTAGAGACCATTAGGATTGATTTCTTTACTCGATGAGGAGTGCATGTTCCCGCGAGCTTCAGATGCGACTCTTGCAAATAAGCTGAAAGAGCATCTGAAAGGAAACGACTGCTTTAAAGGCGAGCGAGATAAGGCATTCCGAATCTGTCACTATGCTGGAGAGGTATTCATCTAGTATTAACTCTGCTTCGAGGTTATAAGAATTCCTCTTCAGGGATGAGAGTACACGTTTCATTTCTGACAATATCATGATAACTTCCAGATTTAGTGTTCACCGACATCTGGGTTGCGTCCGCCATGCTATTTGGTTTTGGGCGTAATGTGTTGGTAATTCGAAGTTGATTCTAACATCGAAGTGATTTTTGCAGGTTGTCTATGAAACATCTGCGTTTCTTGAGAAGAACAGGGACCTGCTACACGCAGATTTGTTGCAGCTGCTAGCATCTTGTGACTGTGCATTGCCAAAACTGTTTGGTGCCTCTATTGAAGATGGTGCTCAGAAGTTGCTGAGCCCCAATCGAAGGGCCAATGGCATGGAATCTCAAAAGCAGAGTGTGGCTGCGAAGTTTAAGGTGCGTATCTATTTTCCATGAATTTTTCTGCTAAACTTTCAGCCTTGCATATGAAATATTCTTGTTAACCATTTCACGACAACCCGCTGCTGAGAATGAGACTTTCATTTGATATCGGAGCTGTATAAGCCGTAGTCAGATAATCGGATCCATCACGCACAACTAACTTCAATTCTTGCATGGTTTATAAGGGCCAATTGAACAAGCTGATGCAAAGACTAGAGAGCACTGAACCTCACTTTATCAGGTGCATCAAACCCAATACCTCGCAGCTTCCTAATATCTTCGAGCAGGATCTAGTATTACATCAGCTCCGGTGTTGTGGCGTCCTGGAGGTGGTTCGCATTTCACGTTCTGGCTACCCGACTCGCCATTCACATCATGAGTTTGCAAAGAGGTGAAGTAACGATAAGTACTTGGATGCGTATACTTGGATGAGTTTAAGCTTTTAAACAATGATCTACATAGTACACACCATGACATGTATGTTTGAATGATATTTTTGCAAAGAATAATTTCCTGGAACTTTTCTGCCGTGCAATGTCCATAAGGTCAAACAATGTATGCGCAGGTATGGCTTCCTGCTTCCAAGGAATCTGTCTAATCAAGAGGACATGCTAAGCATATGTGTCTCTATTCTTCATCAATTTGGCATTGCTCCAGATATGTATCAAGTAGGCATCACGAAGTTGTTCTTTCGGGCTGGACAGGTGAGATGTCCTCCATTTGTATCTCAACCTTCTAGTTCTTCTCCTGTTAAGTTATTGTAATTCTTCCCTGAATGGGTACACATATCAAGACTCACAGAATAATTCCTTTAAATGATTTGGATCTGTCATGCAAATGTCCTTTCTGTAGTTCCATCTCTCCTAGAGTCCATTTAAGCATCATTGGTATTAACATGGCTTTTTCCTCTTACACAATCAGATAGGACATTTGGAGGACGTTCGACTGAGAACCCTTCAGGGTATTACACGAGTTCAAGCTTTATATAAAGGCTATAAAGTCCGATGCAATTACAAACATCGACGAGCAACCACAATTTTCTTACAATCCTGTGAGTTTCTTCCAGTGTTGACTTGCTTTTTGCATTCGATCTCCTAGGTCGTTTGGAGAAGTCTGTTACTGCACTACGTTTTTGTGCCATCTATCCATTTCTGGTGCAACCATCCAACTCTGTACATCTTTTACACCACGAATAGTCTTTGGTTGACTTAATTAGATTGTGTATTTTGTGCTGACTGGATTCACTCTTTTTCGGATGCTTCAGTGGTCAGAGGAGCCATCGCAAGGAGGCGATTTGAGTTGTTGCGAGAGAGGCATCGTGCGGCTGTAACGATTCAAAAGTATGCAAGAAGGCAGGTTGCTTGTCGTAGATATCGCTCAGTGAAGGAAAACATTGTAATCCTTCAATCAGGTGCCAATTCTTTCCGGGACATAAACCTTGGGCCTGACTTGAATTCCTCGAAGCAATTCCTTCTTTTACTGATATTCAAGTTTCTATGTTATGTATCCTAATGGGGAGTGTTCGACACTAACTGGATAAGTGTCGTATGGCAGTCGTTCGCATGTGGCTGTCTAGAAAGCAGTCGCTTGCTCGGAAAAAGGAGGCCAATGAGGCGAAGCGAGCTATGGAATCTAAACTAAGTGAAGAAGCTAGAGTTGCCGAGACTGAGGCAAATGTAAAGGAAGATGCTGTTGATGATGGTCGCGAATGTATAAAGGAGGTGGCTAGTTCAACACGTGCAGAATCTGCTAAGGTAAGTTATACTTGTGGTGCCATTCATTATCTTAACGTAACTTAGCTCATGGACTGATGGCTTAACAATTGAGGCCTCACTTTTATGTAGGATTTACCGAGTTATTGGCGTGCCTTGCAGGAATTAAAAGAGGCCACTATCAAGGTTGCACCGTCATACCTTCTTGAGTTGCAGCGACGGGCAGTCATGGCGGAGAAGGCACTGAGGGAGAAAGAGGAAGACAATGCAATGCTGCGACAGAGGCTTCTGCACTACGAGGCACGGTGGATGGAGTATGAAGCCAAGATGTCGTCCATGGAGGACATGTGGCAAAAGCAGATGTCTTCATTGCAACTTAGCTTAGCAGCTGCCAAGAAGAGCTTAGCAACAGATGAATTTCTGCCGCAAACTCCTGGCAAGCACGACAATGGTCGCATCTCAGCCGGGAAGCACCGGCATAGTACTAAGCGGCAACTGCTGCCCTCCGATGACGAAGAGTTCGATTGGGACGATGTCGCAACGAACGGCATGAAGAGCCCGGATGACTTCACCAACAAATATTTGGTAACTGGCTCTGGAAATGGCGCGTCACGTGGTGACGTCGAAGCTGCACGGTCTGTCGTCAGCCACCTGACGAGAGAGTACGACCACCGAACGCAGGTATTCAACGATGATGTTGATTTTCTCATCGAAGTTAAATCTGGCTTGACTGAGGCTAACTTGAACCCTGAAGAAGAGTTGAGGAAGCTGAAGGTGAGGTTTGACACATGGAGGAGAGACTTCAAAGCCAGATTGCGAGAGACCAGGCTTGTGCTGAACAAGCTCTGTTCTTTAGACTCGGCTGAAAAAGACGGAGATAGGATGCTGTGTGCTTTAGACTCGCTGGAAAAAGAGGGAGATCGGACGCGCAAGAAGTGGTGGGGAAAGAAAACCACCTCCTCAAGAGCGCTCCAAGGTTAGATTCCTCCAGGAATCTATCCCCAAGAGGACCCATTGTTTATGATATCTGAAGCATACGCCAGTTACTTTCGCCCCTCAAGCTCCTAATTGTTGTGAATACAAACCTTAGCGATGTGGGGGTCTGGGATTCCACTCCTGACTACTGATCAGGACCACTATCATCGGAGCAAGCGGTGAAAGATAAGTGCTTTCTCCATGAGTCGTTGCAGCATGGACATCACAGTCTTAGGATTGACGTACCCTCCAGTTATCACAGGCGTAGCATTAGCAATATGTGGGTACGGAGTGATTGCTCCACAGATATTAGCGTGCAGACAACAATTTTAGTGGCTGCTGAGAGATATATTTGAGACTCGATTTCATTCGAGGTCGTGACATTGTATATATTTAAGCCTTACTTGGACTGTAAGGCGTCTACATTTGCCCATTTTACTCCGCTGTTGTGTCGATGACAAAGATATCGCTGACGTCTGTTGATTTTTTCCAATACCTTCACAGGCCTTTTGAAGAGTGTTGTAGTGTTCAGAGAAGTTTGACCCACTCTGTCCACACAAATCGGTTGGAATCAAATAGTTGCGTAAATTTAGGTTTAACTTGGTTGTCGGTTATGTATCGATTCATGGTTTAAGGAGTTTGTGAGTTACTAATGCTGATGGTCACTTACCGTTTTAGGTCTGGGAATGATTTTAGTATCAATAAAATTCTGAAGGACCCAACTCTAAAGGTATATTTTTTAAAAGGTTAGAACACATGTCATAAAATTGTCACATAAAAAGATACAAAAATTAAGACGTCATATTTCATGCTTTACATAATTGTTAGAATCAATATTGATGTTGGCATATGTAGACTAGTAACAGAAGAACAGGTTGGTTGGCTTAATGGCATCTTTTTACTTTAAACTATATCAAAAAGGTTAGGCATGTAAAAAAGAGCTTTCTTCACGAAGCATTGGACCATAATAAAGCTTTTAAACCATGGCCTTTCAAAAACAGTATCTAGGTATAAAGACCCCCTTAAGCAATACTCTTGTGAGATGATATATTAACAACTTGAGCAACATATTTTTTTTAATTGAATTTTTATTACATTTTATATTTTTATTTTTTAAATCCATCATTTTTTTCTCATACTTTGTTATAGAGTAAATTTTCAAGTCCTTACTACTTTTAATTGTCTTCTTTGTTGGGAAGGTTTTGTAGATTATTAGAGTATAATCAACACATCTATTGATTTTTATATTTTTAATTTTTAAATTTAAAAATATGCTTGTGCAAGAGATAGTAAAGTGTTAGAAACTAAAAAAATAAAATATGATTATGCTCTTTCGAACTCTGTGCTATGTAATGATTTTTTTATCTACTTTTTTTAATAATATATATTTTTCTTAATTTATGAAAATACATATGCATAATTTTTTCACTAACGTCATAATTTTTAAATAGATTATTTTTTGTAATAAAAAATTAATTTTAGATAGATAAATAAAATACATTATTTTATTTTTATAATTTATTTTAGTACATTCAATAATAAAAATCCATTTTATAATAATTTTTAATCTCTAATAGATATTGAATATTTTATTGCTAAAAACTCTAGCAAAAGCAATTCTTGAGAAAATCACTTTTTATATACTAATTAAATTAATAGCAAGAAACAATCACAAAGTTTGATTTAGAAAAACTCAAAATAAAAAATATTTTTGTATTATCTACAACAAAAACTGGAATGAATAAATAAATAAATAAAACAATTTTAAAAAATGTAAAACTATATGATTGAACATGTTTTAAGTAAACTATTTTTTTGAAGAACATATGCAGGTTTTGATTAAAAAAATTTAATTCTAAGATTGAATTTTATAGATATAGGTTATTATACAATTTTTAGAGCCTTCTATTCCTTTTAGATTATTTTTGCAATTTATATAAGTATTTAGAAACCTTGTTGTGGAAGTTTGGTTATTAAGGCTTATTATAATTTGAGAAGTGTTAATGCTACACCCCCAATTTGATATTGTTACAACCCATGTGGCTTCCATAGAACTTAAATTGACTAAAAAGCATGCTTCTATAGTTATGGTGCAATTGACAATCCTATATTTTATCCCAATATTAACCCAAAAATAGAATAAAAAAGTTTTGTGTTTTGGTACCCGAAGACAAAATAATAATAATGATTTAAATAATATTTGCAAAGATTTTATTTGTTTTTTTATTAAAAAAACAACTTACTATTTGTTTTTTCATAAAATATTCTTTCTCTCCCTGTCAACCACCACTCTTTTTTAATGCAAAGAACAAAAAAAATGCCCAATAAAAAAGGCATATTATTACCTATTTGTTTACAAGGAGGTCATGTGGGATGAAGCAACATCAATTGGAGATGTAGCATTATATAAGTAATTTATTCAAAAGTTAAACTATTGTTATTTTTAGCCTTGCTAATTCATCTCTTAGACACTGTTAATTTTCAAACATGCAAGTCTTTCCAAAATTTGATATGATTACTTCATTAGAATAATTAGTAAAACATAGCAATTTAAACATCAGCTAAAACAAATGTACAAAATAAATTTAAAAGATAGAATATAATGTCCAATTGTTTAAAAAAAACAATAACTTACTTTGAATATAAATTTATATATATCATCATTTATTTTTTTATTTTTTCATATTTTAGTTTCTTTTATCTTTTTTATTAAGTATTAAAAAAATGCTAGATTATATATATATATATATATATATATATATATATATACATATATATATCAAGAGAGAGATTTATATTACTTGTATATGCATAATAAAGTTTTTAGTTGACTATTTACATTATATCAAATGATAAATATATATATATATATATATATAAATATATCAAAATAAGTAAAATTAAATTTATGTACTTTTTAGACATTAAAATCAACTATTTTTTATATGTATAAATAAATATATTAATTATCTTCTTAAGTTCTTGTTACCAGATTACATAAGTACATCTTAACACCTCAATTGTTTAGCAATATTATTGTCAATTACTTAAAATACGACTGCAAAATAAAATTTTGAGTAAATTAATGAGAAATTAATCAAAATACAAACATTAATTTTTTCTCAAATTAAAATACATATATTAACATATAATCAAATAAAAACATAAGTACAGACAAGTATAACAAGCCAATAATGCTTATTCACAATGAACAGTGTGACATTTAATTCATCATTTTTACATTTTTATAAAAAATAGAAATTAATTAGATATTAATTTCTTTCTAACACTGAATTATATTTATTTCTAAAAAGTATTATTCTACATAACATATCATGCTGATGTTAACTATCATGACAGCTCCAAACTGATGTCGCATCACTTAAAAGACCAGACATTATTAAAAATGATTGAATCCTACATGTCAGATCCTCAAAAGTAAAAGTAGTGTCCAAAGTTAAAGTGGAGGGAACAACTCAACTCAGCGGCGCTTCAAACATTAGGGTTTTAGCTCGTTACGTCGTCGGTGAAGTACCGCAGCATGGGAGCTAACCCTGTTTACATCAATTTGCTGTATCAGTCCCTGTTCCAGATTCTACTCCATTCCGTCTAGGATCAATTTGAAGGTGGAGGAAGAGCGCCTTGGAACCTCGTTTTGAAGGAATAAATGAAGGTTGCAAGCAGTGGAACCTGTCTTATTTGACTTGTCGGAAGCAGGGTGTGAGGTTTTGAGCAGACGCTGAGGCTATGGGAGGAAGGGACGAGTCTGTATTCTAATAAATTCGTTCGAGGAATCTTTTCTTGACGGGAGAGGTAGAGAACGGGTTGTAATGAGTTATGCCGGAGGTGGATCCCATCACCCACCGAGATGGGCGCTCATGTATGCAGAAGCGCCTCCGCCGGGTGTTTCACAACATCCAGGAGTAGCGTTCAGCTTGCCACCACCGCCTGTTATGGGGATGATGCCCAACGGCGGCCCTAGGTATTCGCAATGGGGAGGTCCTCCCGTTCCACAAGGAGCTGCCTGGGGCGTGCCGCTTCAGCAGCAAGGGAATCTTCAGATGATGCAAATGCAGCAACCAGTGCGAGGGAATGCGGGGATTGGAGCATTGCCTAGGGAGACTGAAAGAGATGCAGGTTTTGCAATGAGACGAGGACCAGAGGGGACTAGGAACGGCGGTAACAATGAAGAAATGGTTCAGAAAGCAGAAAAAGCTGCGAGGCAGGTGTATGAGGAGTTGGTCAGAGAGGAGAAGCATATTTCTGTGACTAAGGTTGTCCAGGGCACTCTGTCTGCTCTAGGAGTTTCGTCTTTTGAATTGCTGGGCTTTCGTATGCAAGATGTTTCATGCCTGCGGAAATTGGCGCTTGTCGAAGGCAAGGTGAGCCTATCAGGTTTCAAGCCCATTGGCTCAATTTGCACTAAGTTGCGCTTGAAGTATCCTCTCGATCAATTAGTACCTTACTTCACTCGACTTTGGACTCGTATTCTCAGGATATTATTTTTTCCGAACTGCTGAATTGGTCACGTGTTAATAATGTAGCTTACATTCTATCCAAATGAGATGCGAGATTGGTCGATTATTGAGTGTCTCGCTATGCATGCTTTTGCCCACATCGGAATCGATCTTCTTCTTCTTCTTTTTCATTATTATTATTATTATTATTATTATTATTTTTTAAAGTGTGTGTGTGTGTGTGTGTGTCTTTGGTATCAGCATGTGTTGTCGTTTTCGAGATTTAACATTTACACGGACTTGGTTCCTTCGTTGGCTAACCTGTCTATGGACAATGATTAGTTGATTATTCATGGTCTATATATTGCAATCGTCGCAATCTTATTTAGTGGGGCTTAGTATTGGAGATTGTCTCTACATAGTCTTTCCCAGAGGTGGAATGTGAGATGCAATTGATGAATCTTAAACTTGCAGTAACTCTGACTACCGGCACATTTTGTATATCAGGTCAATGCCATCATCCATTCTCACATTGCTGCAAAGCGGATTACTACCCTTTATGACTTGGGCTGTGAACTAACGCAAGAAGAAGGAGTGTCTGATTTTGAAGACCTGGGTATAGGTCCTCTACTTCTTCATCCTTTGGTAGTTCGGTATTTCTCTCCACCGGATGAGGTTCTTTCAATCACCGCCGAGGAGGTGATGCAGCATCTCTCCGCTTTTATTGGTGAGGCTGAATACAAGCGCGTGGAGGTGGACGAGTTCATGGCGTATTTGCAAAACAAAAAGAAAGCCCCTACAAGGCTACATCTTGGCGTCCGCATTCAAAGTCTCGGGTAAGATTTCAGAGAAAAACTATTGCTTTGTGTGGTCCAAGCGAATAGTTCCAGCAACATTGACGTGGGCTTTGTTTGAATCCAGCGTTATGCTAAGTATCTGTGAGATCATCTTCGCGAGTAATGTCCAATACAATGCTGTCCCCAAGTAATAGTTCGGCTTTCGCAAAGATTGTGTTTTGGATAGGACCTATTTTTACCTTTATTCTTATTTTTGTGTGTAGAGTATCTTCATTTGATAAGTATCTGAGAGTAGCTGTTTACTTGAAAATTCATTTATAAAAGGGTGTAAACTGTGGGCTTGGATGAATGCTTGAAGGTTACATGTAGGAGCTGTGTTGCGTGCGAAGAGGGCAGAGACGGAGTTTATCAAAAACTGGGAAGCGCTTGCGAAATCTCTTCCTGGTTTGAAGAAGTCTAGTGTTGTGTCACAAGTCAGCAACTTTCTCTCATCGCAAAATTCTCTAAAGGAAGGCCTTAAGCGGAAGAGAAACCACATATATTTCGATTCGGATGATGAGGAAGAGACAGATAGACCAAGCAAGACATCCACCGGTGACGAAAGGTCAGCTAAGATTGCTAAGATCAAGGAACTATTTGAGCAATTAGAGAACGCAAATAATGCGAAAGAATCATTGAATAATCTGCCCTATTGTACGGATAGGATGGGGACTGTGACTGGACCGCGCACCTGCCCCTACCCTTCAGCTGCTGAGGAGCGGCTGCGGGCAAAGGAAAAAACGAAGACGAAGGCACAGCTTGATGATAAGTACCGTGATGCTAATGAAATGTCGTGGTCGGAGGTGATGGACTTCGTGAGGATACTGAAAGATGCTTGCAAGAATTGTACAGTTTCGCAGGTATCTATTCCGTCATTTAGTCCGTGTTGTTCTTGCACGAAACTTCTCTTCACTCTTCAAGATTTGGTGTACTCATTTATGGGAAATGATGTATTGCTGCAGGTGATGAAGCATTTGGTTGACACTCCCTGGCAAAACAATGATTTTCCCTTGGTTCCTAAGAAGAAGAATTTAACCAAATTTCTGAAATCAAGGCTTGGGATTGGCTTGCTCTACGTCGCGGTCTGCCCCTTGACTTTGAAACTTGTGTATTTTACCTTTCATACTATGTATTCATGTTAGTTAGTTAACGTGAGTTAAGTGTCTAGTCTCTGTGCTTTTATTTGTCCTTATATATTCGTCCAACTTCCAATTTGAGGACTTGAAATCTGAAATGCTGCATGATATATGCCCCTAAATTCCACACTTTTGTTTATGGGGTTTTGGCAATATCCAAATTGTATGCATTCTGGATTTCCATGAGGCGGACGTCCCTACAATGACATTCAGCGGCAGTGCAGACTGGATCTGGAGCATTTTGTTCAATGAATTCAGATCACTTCAGTCTCATGGTCTCTGTGATATTTCTTTTCACTATATTAGCACGGTTGGTGGTCTTGAAGAGAAGTGTTGTCATTTCTTAATTAGGGAGCTTAGCACATCGACTCGTTCCTGATCTGCAGGTTATATCTGTGAGGATGGGGCTTTGGGATAACAGTGATATGTTACAAAATAGTACGCAAGAGCACCAACAAGAAGAAGCCGCAGCTCAAACTGTTGCCACTGCAGCGCCCATCAGTGTCGATTGCGATGCAAGTGTTCAAACTGGCACTAAACCAGTGAAGGATAAAATAGAAGGTACTATTGGCATTTTTCATATATCGTCCAAGCTGTTTGTCATGTATGTGCAAGACTCTGATCGGCCGTCGTGCACTCCTATCAGCTTCCAGTTCGTCTCTTTATTCTCGTAGGCTTCTGTATTTTTTTCTTTTCCTTTCCTTCTCCTTGATTTCTTATTTGTTTATTTTATTTTAATTTTCTGCCTGTTCTTTATTTTTCCTCGTCTGCAAGTAAACGAATCAGTCTCGCAAGTTTAGATTTTCCAATGATCGTGTAGTTTGCCTCTGTCTATTTACCAAGTCAAAGCGAAATGACGTCTTTCTAAGTAAAATTCTTGCACATGTCTGCAGCATCCGAGTTGAACACTGAAGCAGTGACCAAGTGTAGTTCATGCAGCGTTCCCAAAGTTCCCTTGCATAGAGTGCAAGCCTTTATTACTCAAGCAATTCATGCATCCAGTGTCGGTAGCACATCCGACGACCTTGACCCTAGACTGTGTAAATACTTTAATGTCGAGAAATTCGAAGATTTAGGTTGGGGCTCATTAGAATCAGTGGTGGGGGAGTGCAATCATGGTAGCAAAACAGAATGCTCAAGCTCATCTATTTTGTATTTAGGGGCATTGGTTTCTGCGGTGGAGGATGGCCCTTCGTCTTACTCGTCTGTTTTAAGCAGTGAGATGAGTTCTAGTTTGAGAGTGGGTTCCTTAGGGGCCAAAACCAATGCTGACGCATTGCAGGCCTTGATTAATGCCCCCATGCTTGTCAACCTCAGCCTATGGTCTCAGTGGGATACCATTTTTGCTCCTACATTAGGGCCTTTTCTGAGCTGGTTAGAGAGAGAGGGCTTTAAAGGTAATATCTACACATTGGTAACAGATGCAGGGGTAATCCTTAAAATTGATGGGACAGCTACTGCCGATAACTTCCTTCCATCACTGATTAGTGGAGATTCAAAGTCTGCTGCTGTGCAGCTTACGTCCATTGTAGCATTATATGGCGGTATCAACCATGCACCATCAGCCCTCCTCAAGACGTATGCTACAAAAGCCTTGACTGTGTTGACTCGTTCGTTTGCTAGTGAAGTTCATTCTGAAGATTACAGCAGGGTGGCAATGCTGTTACTGGACATCCTATGTGTCGTACCACAGGAGCTTCAGTTTTTTGCAGCTAAAATTCTTTTGCCGGCTTTTTCATCAGCTGTAGAGTATTCTGCCTCAATTCTTCTCAAATCTTGCAAAATTGATGAACATCGATTTTTGCTTCACAAGCTGGGTGTTGCTTTCGGGATCGAAGAATGGATAAATAACTTCAAGGCCTGTGTCTTCAAATCTTCTATGACTGAAGGGGCTGTTGTTCAAGATATATCCAGCAACGAGATGCGTGGAGAGGAACTGAACCAAGAAAGTGCCTTGCAATGGCCTTCGACGAAGATTTTCAATGAGTCTGAACTCATTTGTGCTGAAGGGTCACCTGCAATTTCCGGAAACCATGAGCAATTGCCTAGTGTGCAAAGTCAAAGTGATGTTATGGAAACTGATTCTACAGTAGAGAGGATTGAAAATGACCAGGCTAGCACAAGTGCAGTTGTGACAGGGCTTTCAGGCTCAACTCAATCGGCTCCTGATTTTGACATTAGACAAAGAGCCAATGATGTCGTGGAATTCATCAGGCGTGAGGAGTTTGGGATCGGGCAAGATCTTAAGGTCCAAGAGCAGGAATTGCTTGCGAGGCAACATGCACGAATGGGACGTGCTCTACATCGTCTTTCTCAAGATCTTTATTCTCAGGACTCTCATTTTGTTCTTGAGTTGGTTTGTCTCCGTCCTCCTTCCAATGGTTATTTATTCATCAATGGTTGCTGTATTTATGGCTGACTTGAAGTTTGTTGTTGTGCTCACTTTTTATTGAAGCGTTGTGTTCACTCACGGATATACTCACCGATGTTTTGTTTGGGATGCAGGTTCAAAATGCTGATGATAACTCATATGCGCCTGGAGTGGAGGCTGCTCTTGTATTTGTTGTTCAATCTGGGCACGTTATGGTTTTCAACAATGAAGTCGGTTTCACGTCCGCTAACTTACGTGCTCTTTGTGATGTGGGCAATTCCACGAAAACAGGATCCAGCACTGGTTACATCGGTCACAAGGGCATCGGTTTTAAATCCGTCTTTCGGGTATGACAAGCTTCTACGTAGTGGACTAATCTTGCTTCTAGATTGAGAATTGTTACAATTGTTCCATTTGGGTTTCTAAGCAGTGAGGGAACTCCGTGTCTACTTATTAGAGGTTGCTGGTTGTTTCTGCGCATTTCAGTATTCTTGAGATTAGCTTTTTCCAGAACGTAACATGTGGGACACTATTTTTCTTACACGAACAAAATTGTGTTGTTTGCAGGTCACTGATGCTCCTGAAATCCACTCTAATGGCTTCAATGTGAAATTCGACATCACTGAGAGCAATCTTGGATTTATTCTCCCCACCATCATAGAAGCCAGACAATGTGCTAAATCATATAGTGGTACTTTAGAGCTGGTAGGTAAAAAGGTTTTCTCCCATGAGAAAGTCGTGTGCTGGAACACACGGATTGACCTGCCAATAAAATCATCCATAAGCAATGGGAAAGGGATGGCGTCACTCGCAGCCAAATTTGATGATATTCACCCATCACTTTTACTGTTTTTGCACCGTTTGCGTTGCATTGCTGTTCAGAATGATGTCGTCAGTGCAACTAAGCTCATGCATCGTGAGGACCTAGCCAATGGCTTGGTTCGTGTTGTGCATGATAAAGGACATGCAACTTGGCTAGTTGCTCGGCATCAAGTCCTGGCTGGGGTTCCAAGGCCAAACATTCTGGAGACCGAGATTGCTTTAGCTTTTCCTCTAGAAGACCTTATTGATGGAAATTACAAAGCCGTTGCAGAGCAGCAACAAGTATTCGCTTTTCTTCCATTGAGATCTTATGGTCTTCGGTTTATTGTACAGGTACTTTTTCTAAATATTTTAGAACAATTTTCTTAATAAGTATATCTTCTATGTTGAATGCTTTCTTAGAGGGAATGGGGTTTCTGTAATTTGTCTCGCCTTAGTTGGCGGACTTCAAATCAGTCAATTGGTTGTGAAGTTCTTGTCTTTTCCTTGTTTTAAGAGGCCCCTGAATTCTTTTTTGATTCAATGTTTTACAGCTTATTTCCGACTGCGAACCATCTGCTCATCTCAATCTCAATTCGTATTTGTGTTGCAGTGTGATTTTTTACTACCTTCATCAAGAGAGGAAGTAGATAGTGACAGCGCCTGGAACCAGTGGCTACGGTCTGAAATTCCCGAGGTGTTTGTAAAGGCGGCTGAGATATTCAAAACTCTCCCCACTCTTGGAACCAGAGGGGCAGCTGTAAGCAATTATCTGAAGTTCGTTCCTCTAGAAGGAGAGGTGCTGGGCTTCTTCTCTGTCTTACCGCGTTTGATTCATACAAGACTACAAGCTATTCCATGCCTTCCTGTCGAAGGATCAGAGTCTAGTTGGTCATTTCCATGCGCTGTTTTAATGAGATGGAGTGAAACAGCCCGCGAACTGATACCAGATGCTCTTTTGAAAGAGCACTTGGGACTTCAGTATCTGGATAAGGAAGTTGATATCTCTGATTCATTAGCAAGAAGTTTGGGAGTACAAAAGTATGGCTCGAAAACACTTGTTGCATTGATGAAATCTGTTTCACAAAAGAGCGATGGAGTGGGTCGTATGGGACTTGAATGGATACGACACTGGCTGATTGAATTGCATGCTTGCCTCCAAAAAGAGCAGGAGGTGTTCACATCCTCTGCCGATTCTACTAATGAGAGTATATTGTTCCAAGAACTTCGAGCAATGCAGTTCATTCCCTTAGCAAGCGGATCGTTTACAGCCATAAAGGATGGGCCAGTCTGGTTTGCTAATCATCCTGCAGAGTTACAAGATGGTGCAATCAAGCCTCTTGGTTGTTTTCCATTGCTGTATGCGGAGCTTCGAACTGTGCACCCAACTCTTTTTCATTCTACTAGTGCCTCTGAGGTTGATCTTGCAGATGATCCTAATGTGACAGGAAAAGTCATTTCTATGCTGCATCAACTCGGAGTCAGGCCCATATCAGCACACCATGTGTTGAAAAGCCATGTCATACCAGCCATGGCGGATGAAAATTGCACGGCGAAAGAGACATCTCTTCTGCTTCAATACATAGGCTATGCCAAGTGGCATTTGGGATCTAGTTGTAACCAGTGTACAGGTGAAATAGCGCTGATATTTGAGCAACTGAAACAAAATGCTCTAATCTCCACAAACAATGGAGTCTTCAGAATGGGTGAAAAAGAGCCAATTCATTTTGGAAAATCAATGGGGAGTCCGTTTGATGCGCAAGATGTCTTAAGTGGATGTTCGATGAAGTGGAACGAAGTAAGCGACAGCTATCTCCAGCTGGCTTTGCCGGGACAAATCACCCCGAACGTCGAAAGCTGGCGAAAGTTCTTATCAGAGTTAGGAGTTACAGATTTTGTGCAAGTTATCCCTGTGAAGAAAATTATTAAAAACAAAGCAGCTAGTCTCTGGAAAGATGAGGTTTGGGAAGGTGTTAACAAGGACGATACAGGCTGTGTCCTTGAGGATTGGGAGTCCCCTGAACTTGTGGATTTGATATCTACAGTTACCACCAAAACATCAGCACGGAAAGTACACAAGAAAGCGAAACGTTGCTCTGCCATATTTTCCATCCTTGACAAATTATGGCAAAGCAATTACGCCTCACGTTGTAGAGCAACGTTTCGCATATCGGATGAAAAGCAGGCTAAACAAGGTTTAACTTTTGCATCTTGGGTATTGCAAGTGAGAAAGCTGAAGTGGGTGAAATCTAGCCTGGATAGTCGGTTGCACACACCAGCTTCACTTTTTCAGCGTTGTGAATCTGTCAATAAAATTCTAGGCAACCATGCTGCATACCTACGCACTCAGGTTCGTTCGATAGCTCCGCAATGCTGAGATGATGTGAGCTAGTAACTGATGAACTTGATCATTCTTTATAGAGTAATATGTGATAAATTCGAGCGCTCTTTAATATGGGTTATGCATTTAGTAGCTGCTTTGACTTAACATGGTTTTCCATCGGCAGATTCATAATGTCCACCTGACAGAAACATTGGGACTTAGAACTGAGGTTACAGTGGATGATTGTCTCTCTTTGCTTCAACACTGGGGTTCAAGTAATCAAGTTCTTGAAGCTAGGTGAGAGTTTTTGAATACTGTTTGCAGATTTAATTGGTAAATTATATAGGCTTTAGGTTACTCAAGTACAAGATTATTTCGTTGTGTAAATGATTGATATGAGTTTCAATGTTCACCCCTTTATACAGACGTAGTTTGGAACGCTTGAAGGTCTTCACAATTGTGGTACATCTCTTTTCGAGGGTTTGCGAAGTTAACTAAGAATCTTAAGTGAACTATCGTGAGATATTGAGGATGAGAGGGATTATGTGTGCCTTCACATTTGTGCTGAGTCTGTGATTTTACGACTGCTGCAGTGTCGCTCAAATGGCACGACTTTATCTATTTCTGGCCGAGCATGCTAAGTCGAAGAAAGTTCTGGCAACCTTCAAGTCACAACCCGCCATATTCTTCCCCTCTACATCAACCAGTTCACGCGAAGAAGTAGTGCAAGGAAGTCTTTTACCTTTGGAAAAATTATTTTGGAGTGACCCGACAGGTGCTCTCAGTATGCTCCACTCCCTTCACGGGTCATCTTGTGAAAAGAGATCAGCTGTAGCTCATGGTCGTAAAGAGCACAGTGGGAATAGTGCAAAAGCTTTAAGTACATATTACCCTGAATTGCGAAGTTTTTTCGTGGAGCAGTGTCTGGTCAGAGAGAAACCAGAATTTTATGGCTACATTAGCATCTTGAAGCAATTCTCTGCTATCACTTCGCCCTTTTCTGTTTTGAACGAGGTAATTAAATTTGATATATTTATAACATGCTACTATTCATAAATGATTACTCTCTTCATTTTTCTGAAACTAGGGCTAGTGTATTGGCAGCTGTGGTCGAAGAACTAGTTCAGTAGAAATTAGTGTACATACGAAGCATATTAGTTTGTAGGTATCATGGTGGATAAATGTTATGTGGGGTGTTATAGGTACTGGAGGTTCTTGCTGCATTGTGCGGCGAACTTGATTCGGGCAGAGTAACGAAGGCAGAACTGCAAGATTGGAAAGCTCATCTTCAAGAAAGTGATTGCACTGTGTTACCCACTATGAGCGACCAATGGGTGGCTCTTCGCAATGATGTAGGATTTGTCTGTGTCTGCGACGACGAGAAAATTGGACAGGAATTCGTCGAGAACGCAGAAATACTGTATTTTCTTTGCACAAAAACCTCTCAGCCTGGTGCATCGGCTTCCATCAACAGTGCTGAAGAACGTTGCAGTCGTGTGCAGCGTTTTTATGCCTCTTTGAGCATTCCGCTCCTATCTCAGGTGGGTCACTGATACTTCAATTACATAAATATATGTCCAACAAGTCAATACTTTCATTTTCAGACGAAGATTATGTTTGTAATGCTCAACATTGTGCCACTCAGCTTATCGCACTTGTAGCTGAGCTGTATTGGACCTCTCATAGGTGCTACAACATACAGCATCATTAAATGGAGATAATGCAATATCTTTTTTTGAGTCAGTTCGTTCTCGTCATAAACTCGTATCTGGAAAGAACGAACATCTGTCTGAGATTTTTTTATCTTAATGGCATTTAAAAAAGCAAATCGAAAGGGCAGTTCTTTTATACCTTCAGTCTATCTATATTTCTCTACTTTTTTTCAATATTTAGAAAAAAAACTGTTCTAAAAGAATTAATTACTTGTTCTTACAGGCGGTGAAACGTGAAGTTATCCTGTATGGGTCACATGATACAGCAAAGGTTGAAGCTTTGGTTTCTTGGGCTCTTCCTTATGCTCAACGCTACATAAGGCAGCATCACATTGACGTTTACAACCACGTAGAAGGCAAACCTAAAAGAAAGTTATTGAAGCAGCTGCGTTGTCTTGTTGTTGACCAATTATACTTTCAATACAGCCTTCAGTCTGGTCAGATACGTTCGTCTCGGCGAGCTCAATGCGGATGTTTGCTTGAGGTAGGTCCTTTGCATGCATCACTGAATATGCATTTTCTAGAATAGACTGCAGACACAGGGTGGATATGAGACATGGCAGGCTTCTAATCTGTTCTACCTCTCTTCATCATCAGGTTGAACACCTGCTAAACAACTTCTAGAAAAATCTCGATAAGCGCCGTATTAGAAATGATATTTTAAAATTACGTCACGTTAGACCTGAACTGTGCTCAACATTTTTCTAAGAGAATCGCTCGGATGCCCAGGAAAATACTCTATATGTCGCTGCCGATCGTTGCGAGGACCACTGCATGATTTACACGGAATTGTCTCGCCTGTTCTTTTCTGGCCAAGTCAACCAGCAGTTGGCTAATTTTTTGCACCTCATTACGATGATGGCCTCTTTAGGGTCTCAAGAGGCTGAGGTGGAATTGTACATGGCCAATACGCAAGGTATTCAGCCCCTTCCTGCTGAAGTCGCTCCATGGAGGATGAAACAAAGGCTTGAAGAATCGAACCCTGCAACGATTGCATCACCTGTGAAAGGACCATCACGCGCTGAGACTTATCTTGAAAGGCATGCGAAAGTAGAAGAGTGGCTACCTGTAAAGATAAAACCCAATCAGTCATATTGTGGATGGCCACCACGGTCTTGGGTTCCTCTTCCTACAGTAAAGTCGACTGCGATGTCTTCCATTGTGGTTGAACCAGAATTTGGTACTACGTTGAACCGGATAACGGCAGTAACACGGACTGAAGAGATACATTCAAGCGGGGTGTTCACCAGTCCAGATGCAAGTACTCGATATAGTAACGGAACCGGGACAGGGATGGTAAATGAAGGTGCAGTCCCTCGTTCAATCGGTTTCACGTCATCGACTTTATCAGCAGATTCTCATGGACGAGCTGTTCAGCAAAATACGGTATGACATTTCAAAGTCCTTACGCACACCTTGAGGTATCTTTCGGAGTTAGTTAACATTCCGACGGAATTTAGCATGTGTTGTTCTTCATGCGTTTTTAATTTTAATTACTTATTTTTTGTTGTTAAGGCAAAGCGGGAAGATGAAACGTAGAATAGTTTCTTGAAGTCCGCTTCTGATGTGATCTTGTTTTGTGCAGGCAAGGGAAAATCTTGTAATGAGCACTGGCACCGAGCAGCAACAGATTACAGGGCGCTCAGGCGAGGAAGTAGCATATCAGTACCTAATCAAAAAGTATGGTGCCAAGGAGGTTAAGTGGGTGAATGAAGATGGGGAGACTGGAGCTCCTTTCGACATGATAGTACGAAATGAATCTGGAAAACAGGAGTTTGTGGAGGTTAAGACCACACGTTCGCAAGATAAGGATTGGTTTGAGATTTCGGCCCGTGAGTGGGAGTTTGCAGAGGTCCACGGTGATTTGTACACTGTGCTCCGTGTAATCCTTCCCAATGCGGAGAGTTCATTCCAGATAATCCGATTTTCCAATCCTGTCAAGCTCTGTCGGGAGCGTACCATCCAGCTAGCACTTATTCTACCATTTAGTCATGTTTCAGGCTCGTCGACCGCCACATCTCTACAATTGACAAACTCGTCATCACCGCAAAGGATTGAAGTAGCTGACTTAAATTATAAGGTGACGTTAGGCTAAATTTTTTTAGTAGTTCTGTAAGCATTTCCTACGGCCCTTCGTTGAAGATTACAGTGGATTACATGGATTGGGTAATCCTATTAGGACAAAACATCTATCGTCTTAAAATAGTCGTTAGGATAATCGGCTTCATCGTGGCTTCCAACCCTGGTAATGTTAGGAGGCACAAAATGTGGATCCTTGGACTTTGGGTTGTTCAAGGATCACAGGATCACTGGGCATCGTCATTCTCTCGAATGACCGCGACATTTTTCTCTGGGTACAGGAAAGTCTGTTCTAAGGAACACTGCAATTTTTATTACCTGTATTTCAGAAGAGCGTACAGGTTCAATTATCTCTATTTGATTAATTCATGATCTCTCAAGCCTTTGCAGCCACGGGAATTTGATTCTTCTCTTCTGAACATAGCAGTATAGAATGTAGTGGGTGATGAACTGAAATGTTCGATCTGGAACCAACTTTAAGAGGAGTGTCTTGAACAATCCCCTTGAGAGTTAGAGCACCCATCATGCTTTTTTCTGTTCTGTAACCATGGACGTGGCTGTGCATTCCATTTTATGGACTTTTTCTTCGTAAAATGTTTCATCAGCAAAGACGTGCATACATGTGGGTGATAAGTTATTCATTGAATTTACTATTTTCAGAACTTTACTCTTCCTATAACCAAAATAAACATATTTGAGTTACCGATTGACTTGATGGTTGTATTAATTGCAATCATAATAGCTTATGAGTAGGAGTTATTTGAAAAGTTGACACACTGAACAACTTATATATATATGATGTAAAATAGAATCGAAAAGCACGAAATGCTTGTAAACCATGATATTTTGGTTAAGTAAATCTGAAAAATGTCATAGAACATTTAATACAACATTTTAAAATCTAATAATGATACAGACAGTTCGTATTGAATAAATGCATACAAATCTCACAAGTATTTATTGAATAATATTTATAAAATATTATTTTACAAAATTGTTGACATATGCATATATTTAGGACGGTGCATCTTCAAATATTGAAAATTAAAAATACTGAAAATATTGAATATTAACAAATTTATTTGTATAATAATAATTTTAATTAATCACTATTAATCAATGACACGAATATAATGTTTTTGTATTATTAACTGTTTATTTATATACTGTTTAATTATCAACACGAATATAATGTATTTGTATTATCAAATAAAAAATAAAAAATAAAAAAAAACCAAGAATTCAAACTCAGAAATAGAATACATTAATAAATGAGAGATATGGGAACGAGGATCTCAACCATTGGGAACAATCACGTTGCAAAGTTCCCTGTCGCGGGTTTCAGTTACGGAGTGCATAACCGTCTTCGGAAGACCTGAGACCACGGAGACAGGGTGTGTTGCCCTGCCCATCTGGAGCTCTAGATCCACCGACGGCACTGAATTCTGTGCATGCTTTCGTTTTCATTTGCGAGGATCTCATTGCTATGGTGGCTGACTGCACATCTGGAGTAATTCTCTCCTTCTGATCAAACTCGACTGCTCGTCTTCGTGGCTGCGTGATTACAATCAACTCACCCAAAATCTACTTCCCAACGTTTGCATTTTTCATCTGCTTTGCGTTGAGCTCCAGCGAATTTTCATAGCTGTGAAAGGGAATCGAGCGAGCAATTCGCAATCGGAGATGGACAACCTCGTGGAGACGGATCCGTTTCCCTCTTCCTTACCATTTCCGATCGACGCCGACACGGTATGGACCACCTGAGGAGTTGGAAGAAATCATAACTGCAATAACATCTTCAATACGCTTCCAGTCTCTGTTATGAGGTTAGGGATGTATTATCCTGCACAATCGATCATGTAACTAAGTTTTTACAGCCACAATCAGATTTCGTTTGATTCCATCATGTTTCGATGTTTGTTCCGCTTGGTGAGATGGACAATTTTGCAAGATAATCACAAGATTTAACCTGGAACTGGAAAACTTCGCATACGTCACTGGGGAAGAGAGATTCTTGTGCACTCTAAATTATTCTACTCCCAGACCTCTGAACATTCATCACCGTTGCGACGGCTGCTAAGATTAGCTTCTTAGATTATTATTATTATTATAACTATTATTAATATTTTTTCAACATACTCTGAGAAAAGTGTGTGTATGTTCTGAAGGATGCATTCATAGATGAGCTCTACTTTAGAACGAAGAACACGGAGGGGCGGCTGCCACCGGTATGGACTTTTAGTCTACAAATTGTGTGAAGCCTCTCATTGTGACCATTCGTTCAAACAGGGGTCATAACCCTTCCGGTTCAAAATGTTGATTTACAAGAACAGATTAGCTAGTTATAGAAGTGCTGAGATTAACTTCACAATACTCCGAGGTTTAGTAAATTTGAAACTGTTTTTGAGTAGGTACAAAAGATTCATTTTTCATACCCGTAAGGCGTTGCTATGTGTTTTCGCTTCAGGATTCAGTGATGAACGAATTGAATGAGTCAAGGACGGAACTCTACAGCCGTGTGCAAACGTTGAAGAAGGTTAGAACTGACAACTTCGCATCTTTTATTCCAGGTAACGAAGGCATCGTCCCCGAAAATTATTTGCTGCAGTATATTGAACACACCAGAGTGTCTCTACTTTAAACCCTTTCGTTGAAATCAACTGAAATGCCTAAAAATACGAAGTGGTGTAATTAGCTCTTTGTTGTCAGGATTTGAAGGACTGGCGGGGAATGCTGGACAATCAAGTTAAGTCGTATCGAGAGGTCAGTATATCTTAGTCTTCGGGACGTGAAATCTCAGATATCCATGGAAGTTTGATCCCAATGTTTGTGCTTGTGAAAATGACAAATGTAACTATATTTTGCACCATGCAGGAAATTGGAGATTTGAGGGATTCTCTCAACTCAGAGGTGGAGCGACTAAAGACTGTAGGTTATCTTCCCCCGAAGTTAAGTTGGCCCTACAGTCGATATGAATGCTTTACTTGCCTTTGTGGGATTTGAAATTTTAGTTGGAAGCATCGTACCCTCTTCTTCCCGCGATCCTGCTCAGCAAATCTCCATCCCTCAGAGCATTGAGAGAACAATGGTATCCCCAGGAATTTAAGAAACTGAGGAGCACGCTGAATGATCAGGTGGAGAAAGCTTCATCAAAGTTGGCAGAGCTTGTATGTGCTTTATCTATTTTTTAAATCTTTATTTATTCTGCAGTACTGTCTATGATTTGGCAGCTAGACTTGATTTTTTGCAGTACGAAGATGAAGTCTCAATCGATTCAGACAAGATAGCTCTTGATGAAACAACCCTTGTAAGTCTAACGCGCTACTCAATGAGAAGCAAATGAATTTCTTAATTTCTGACTCTGCTCTTTTGTTACAGAATGAATCAGAGGAGATGCCTTCACCAAAACTTAAAGCCGCAGAAACTTCTTTGTCAGATATCTCAAACGAATAAAAGCTGGAAAATACCCGCAACGAGATGTACTTTTGGTTTTTGTCGAGACTCCATTCCATAACAGAGCCAGCTTGAATTCGGTGCACTGTAAAAATTAGTCAATCAAGGACAAACTATCCTGTCGTATTCAAGGACCGATGCGAGGATTTCACGACCCACAACCTTGTCAAAAGTTCCCTTTTCTCTGAAGGATGAGTTGGTTCTCCATTGATTGCACACTCGACGTATTTTATTACAAATCAAATGCTTGACTGCTAGTAATCGAACACACCTGGAGCATTGCTTTTTCATAGCAGAAGCATTTACGTGCAGCGAACATATAATAATTGCATAAGTGGTACACAAATATTCACACGCCTGCAAAAAGCCGTTAACTTCATTTCTTTGCCTTAAAATTGGCATAGCTTGCAATCTGAAGGGGAGACAAACTAGCACTTGTCCCATTTCTAGCACTATCAAAATGGCGTTTACAAACCATATTTGAATCCGTGTTATTAGCCAAGCTCTCCCGCAAAGCAGCCATTACTGCCTCCCTACAAAGACCGGCAAGCTCAGCACCAGTAAAACACTCTGTATCGTCAGCCACTCCATTCAAATCGACGTCATCCGCAAGAGCGTTGCTTCTCGTGTGGACGCGTAAGATTTCCAACCTGCTCTCTTTGTCTGGAGGTGGAACGTAGAGCACCTGCAAACCCAGTTGCATAGTCAGGTGCAGAAGATGAATTGGAGTCCAATAAGTGCACCCATCATATTCCAAAGACTTGAGGATATAAAGCTTAATCAATCCATGGATCTTACAGAGTCAAAGCGTCCTGGTCGCATCAAGGCAGCGTCAATTGCCTGTGGTCGATTGGTGGCTGCCAGAACAAGCACACCCTGCCATCCAACATATAAACCTTGAGATTAACAGTCTAGAATAAAGAAAGTTACTGGTATCCCAAGTGCGAACATCAACTCCTCATACACAATCAAATAAAATACCTGTGCGAGTTCAAGTCCGTCCATCTCTGTGAGCAACGTGGAGAGTAACTTCTCCCCTACTGATGTGTCATTCCCACCCCCCGAGCTTCCATTTTCGCCAATTCCCCTAAAGACCATTGGCATGTTTCAATATTAGCCAAGAGAATTCGCGCAATGACTGAAATGACCAAATAATGGATTGAGCTGTAGTAAGTTACAACAAAACAGAGACAATGTGCATACACCTGAAGGATATAAATTATTATGTTACTAATATAGTAAATAAATTAATAAATAACTGTTGGTTGGTCAAACCCCCTGGATTCTAGATGAAACAAAGATGAAGTTCCAATTGTCACGCCAATGTATAATAAGGGTGTGTAAAACCTTCTCGAAGCGACTGCATCAGCTTCATCAAAGAAAATAATACTAGGAGCTGCAAGTCGGGCTTGTCGAAATGTATCGCGCAATAGAGCTTCACCCTCACCAACGTACATGGAATACAAATCTGCGCCACTGATAAGTAAAGCAACATTAGAAACTAATACCGGTACAAGAACGATACTTCCGCTATTAGTATCGGTACAAGAAGGATACAATGCGACTGTTAGTTTTACAGCTTCCTGGCAAGCAAGAGCCTCCCAATCTGCATTGTTGCACATTTTGGGAAAAGAGCAAACTAATTCGATAAGATGGAAACTTCAAGGTACCTGAGAGAGAAAAGGGTTGCTTGAGAGGAATGAGCAGCAGCTTTGGCAAGAGTAGTTTTGGAGCAACCAGGTGGGCCGTGAAGAAGGACCCCTCGAGCAGGTCTGATCCCGAGTCTTGTAAGCGCATCAACATGCTTAATTGGCCATTCCACAGCCTGCTGTAGTCTTTTCTGAACATATGAACACAGGAATCATGAGTTGCAAGTAATTATATGTTATTTCCATCGTCACCGCCTAATAAATTACGCCAAAGATATTAATATGGACAAGTCGGCCTTGCTTGATGTTTTGACCGAAACAAAGCGACTACAATGATTAAAACAAAGTCCCACTTCCACTGCCATGTAAAAAATTATCAAATTAGATGGGAAAGCACCTTGACTTCATGCAGTCCACCGATATCGTCCCAGGATACCTCAGGAACCTCTGCGACTGAACCTCGCACAATGCTAGCTCCGACTCTCTTATGAGCCTCTTCGAAGTCCTTCATTTCTACAGGCCGCACTCCTTCATTGTGAGACAGCGCTGACATGGCAGCCTCACGACACAAGGCTTGTAGGTCAGCACCGACGTACCCGTTGCACATTTTAGCCACTGCAACAAGATCCACTGAAGTGTCGAGAGGGAATTTCCGTGAATGCAGCTGGTACATACCCACAAGATAGATAAAGTGAGAGACTTCGCCCAGCCAGTTAAGTGAAACACTAATAAAACTGAAGCTGTTCAGACCAGCTTACACGAAGAATGGCATGCCGCTCATGGGCGTTTGGAGGTGGAACTGCTATTTCACGATCAAAACGGCCAGGTCTCCTCAAAGCAGAGTCAATGGAGTTAACGCTGCAAACCAAAGTCAACAACAAACTGAGTCAATACTTCTTAATCTCGACAAAAGAATGGATTGGTCGGTCTATGGCTTGCATACAGACTTAGTGCCTTGGCCTGTTACGTAAAATGATGATCCTCACACAGAAAGAAGCGTCATCTCTGTATTTAGCAGCCATTGCCTTCTAGGAGCGTAAAGGACACAGGACGGGTGTTTTCCACTTAACGTTGCAAAAGAAAAAGGAGACAACCGGAGGATCTATATGAGTACCACATGGGATTAGAAAGCGTAAATGTTACAAAAGGATTTAAGTGCACATGGTCTCTACAGAATTTAACAATAGAGAAGAAGTGAAACGTATTCTCTAACCGCAGCAGAAAGTTCCATAAAATTAATCCAATGGAAAACTAATTTGTTTAATTCAAATGCCGATTTGTTTCAAAACAACACCTACCGATTAGTTGCAGCAACGACAACTACTCTAGAAGTACCGGCCAACCCCGCTTTTGAAGACCCAATACCATCCATCAAAGTCAAAAGTTGAGCAACCAGTCTTGTCTCTTGTTGGCGCCTGCAAAGAGCAACCCAATGGTATCATTTCACAGATTTGATTTCACAAGAGTAATAAGATGCATTGAACTACACAAAATGGACAATTGAAGTATTAATAAAGCATACTTACAAACATCTCTCCATGTCAATAGTATGGTGATCGAATAAAAGACTCAGAAACAAAAGGATCTCAGGAGATGCAGAAACGCCAATAAAGATGGTGACCAATTCAAAAGGTTGTGACAGATATACTTCTTGTACCTAGAGTCCCGAGGAGGGCACATGGTGTCTATTTCATCGATGAAAATTATAGCTGGTCTTCCAATAGCTGCTTCTAAAGCCGCCTTACTAAAAGCTTCCCGCAATACCTTCTCACTTTCTCCAGCAAATGCCTTATGGACAGAAGCACCACTGCAACAGTTTCAACAGGTATTGACACTTTTCATGTCACAATTACACAAATCGCATATTATTCAAGCATTTCACTTCGAGAAAAAGACTAGCGATTGACGAAGCTAATACTTCTGCTGATTTTCTTCGACGCAGGTCGGATACGCAACACACAATAGCGTCCTCTAATACTGATAAGGACATAGAGAGAGCAGGAGCACATTGAGACCTGAGAGACGTAAAATGAGCGTTGCATTCTCGAGCAACAGCATGAACCACGCTTGTCTGCAGGTCGAAATGTCATTTAATTAGATGTAGAAATAAGTAAGAAAATGAAATTATAAACCGTCCACATAAAAGAAAAAGTTGGAGGTGAATAAGAAGTTCAGGCAATCAAAATATATAAGTAAAAAAGGAACAAAAGGGAAAAGAGTGTATACCTTACCAGTACCAGGTGGTCCGTACAAAAGAAGTCCTTTGGGCCACTGCAATGATTAAGCAGAAGCACCACACGTTAGGAATACAACAATAGCCTGAGCACCGTTCAAAAACGAAAAGGTTTCAGGAGCTCACGAACAGTTGCATAAATCGAACTGCTCCAGCTTATTAAACATCATAATCATAAACCCTAAACCCTGAGCCTCGGATCTTCAAGTAAAGGGTTACTAGAATACCCGTAAACCAAGGGATGCAGCTTCTTTCGAATACATTACAGGCCAGAGGAGGAGTTCTCTCAAAGCCTGCAGAGGAGCAACCATGCCTGCCACCACACTCTCTGCATTGAACCCGACTGAATCCATATTTGGTTCATAATTCTGCGGCTTTTGATCTTTATCCTCCACACCCATCACGCCGGTAAGTAGTGCATGGGCTAATAAAAAGTACAATATAAGAGGCGCACCACCTTCACGACATGCAAAACCATACACAGCATCGTAAGAAAATAACATCGGTTAAAATAATCACTTTATTTGAGTTGATAGAGAAGAAAATAACTTTGATTAATACTTTACTTCGCAAGCCCAAAGCACCAACAGAAGCATCTAAAGTGAGACTACGAAAACCTACTTTAAAATTTAATTGGAAATGTCACAAGAACGAATTCATAAAACTTGAATATTCGACATGAAGTGCAGTTTCACCTGGACGAAAAATTATGTGTGTTCATCAGAATTCAGCAATTAGCGGAGAGGCTCTTGAATCGCGCACAGCAACCACGGACACCACCTACCACTCTTATTGACAACCTAAACAAACGTCTTCATCTCCGAACCTAATTATTGCATGTTTATCCACCTCTACAGAATCTCAACCACAATTGGATCCATGCACTGAACTCATTTCCAGAGACTAGAAAGAACGTGATTAAAACCAGTCACAAAGAGTCAACAGCCTTATATTCCAAAAATCTCCTCACATGAGAAATGTTCTCGTGAATTTCTCAAACGAGAAAAAGTGCATTCAATGCCGCAACTAGCCTCAACGAAACGTCTTCACACAATGTGATAGAACCCTGATACCATAATGCACCATCTACGCTATCGAATTACTCAGACTCCACCGATATCTTCAAATGGATATCCCACACCTCGGTCATATTCAGGCATGTAGATTTTCCAGGACACTGCACAATGCGCGAGTACACAGGTCTTCAAAATAAACTCAACACGCACCTGTTACTTTTGGATTCGAGAATCAATTGTAGGCTTGCACTGCATTCCGACTCTGAAAGATTGCTCAATCTGCGATACAAGCAAACTCAGAGCCGCAACACTGAGAAGACAGTTTGGATTAGGGCTTCCGATCCACGGCTTTAGAAACCCCTTGCACAGGAACCGGGAACCGTGGTCTATGCACTTCGACTTGAACGGAGATCCTATGTCCATGTATCCTTCTGAACAACCCAAGATCGACAACCGGAATATGAGCATGCTGATCGATTATTACATTAAGAATAGTTTTTTATGATTCTAAATTACTTAATTTATTTAAAATGATTAGTATATGTATTTCTAACATATTCCTAATAAAACCAATGCAAATAAGTTTAGTCGAGTCACAAACAAATATTACTACTTTGAAGAACACATAATCTGAGATCTAGTGTAGTATAATTTTTAATGTTAAAAATAAACGACCCACTACAATCGATTTCTTTTTTATCCAAAAATTCTTTATAATCCAAATAATACTTAATACTCATTAGCCTTAAACATTTAATTCTTTAATACGATTCTAGATGTATTAGTCATTTTTGAATTTTTATAATATAATTTATTTGATTAAAAAAGATGTAACTTAGGAAAAATATTTTTAGTTATATTATGTTGCATTGAAAATTTTATTATATATATATATATATATATATAGATATATTTCTATTTGATTAAATATATATACAATATTACTTTTGCTAAGTTATAAAGTCAATTCACCTTTTATAAACATAACTTATAGGAAGTTAAAACTTATTGAGGTTGCTGAAATCATGAATTTGTTTGAGTGTGCACTTACTGCTTGCCTAATACATTTTCCCCTGCATACCGAATACCTTGTCATTGAATATAATGTTGCACCTCACAAATATCCAGTGATTACAGATCTGCAAACATGTCAAGGACGAAGACTCGATAAGGGAAAATATACACAAAAAGGCTTTCTCGATATAATAAGTCAAAATATAAACAAGTAGGTATATTAAAAAGAAACTAGAATGGCTATTGCCACAAGACAAGAAACTAAAGACTCTTGAACCTGGACTAGAAGCAAGAAAGGAGTTGACAAGAGTGAAGAAGCCTTCACTCTTGTCTCTATATATACTATCTAACTAGGGGCTACGTGGCGACGTTCTATAGGACCTCCAATATGTGTTGACTTTGTAGGACACATGCCTTGACTTACAAGGCAAGTTTTTCTACGTGTGGGCCACATAGTTAGCTTGATCTTCAAGCTAACAACATGTGTGGCACATGGCTAACTTGTTGACCACGTTTCTAATCCAAAAAGTCAATTAAAGACACCTATGAAGTCAAAGCAGGGTCTAGGAAGTTTCTAGGAAGCTTCTATATTAAATATTATAGAATTAACTTACTTTTATCTACTTTTACTTACTTCTACCTATTTCTATATGTAATTATTAGCTTACATGATTATGGCCGTGACATTACCCCCCCTTCTAGAGACGAGTTCCACGAGGAGCGGTCATCATATGTTGAGAAAATCTATGATGCGACGAATTGTATTTGCCACATACTCTGATCTCTGTTCTCTTCGAAGATGATTGATAGGGCCTCTCAACCATCGGTAGTGTCCCATACCAGGGCGGGAAGACCACCCAGTTATTTGATCATTGTTGAGGCCTTCGTAACTTCCTTCGAATAGAATATTCGGAACACCATCAGGAGTTGTTCCTACCTCTAGCAAAATCACCAAACATCGAGAGTCCCTTCCCAAATCCTGATACCAAACGCGTTGTATCTCACCATCTGTTCGAGGAAGAACATGTCGTTCTTGAAGATCTTCATCTCGATTGCGTCGTCTTGAAGGTTGTGACAATCGTAATGTCTCGTCCGACAGGTCAGCAAACGAAGGTTCTTGAGTTGAATCCGCTGGTTGTTGGCTCTCCATCTAATTAGCGTCACAAATGCAAAGAAGTTACAAACAAGGATAAGAAATTGAATGTTATCTTGCCTCAATCTTGTCTCTTTTATAAGAGAGATTTTCATCTTGGTTTTGATGGATGTCTGTAGAATAAGTAGTTATTTGTTGAATTGTAGATACTTAGTTCATAGTGTAAACAGGGATAGATGACTGTTGAAAAGGTAGTTCAGTAGGTAAAATGGATGAATAGTTAGGAAAAGCAGTTTTCATTAGAGATGTAGCAGTTGGTATCTCGTGGTAGCATAAGGAGGATGGGAGAGAGGAAGTAGGGGCCATTACTGTGATAGTGTGAGCCGGGGTAAGCTTGGTGCTACCTCTTTTCTTTTATTGTTATGTTCTTTGAAATAAGAGTATTGAGAGTTTCTGAATATTGTGAAGTGAATCATGGAATGAAAGTGTGAATGGAATTATATGTTATTGAATGAGAAGAAGAGAGATTGAATGCTGAAATCTGAATGTAGTTCAGCAGAGAGAATGAGTCTGTGTTTGTGTGAAACACTGTAATGTGAAGGCAGTTAATGGTGAAGAACTCCAGAATTTGGATTATAGTATGATTATGTCCTGTCATTTAGGATAGTGCGGGATTACATGTTGTTTGTTATCAGTGATGGTGGAGTATTATTAGGAAGTGGAAAGCATTGTAGTGTTTCCTGGATGTTTTAAGTAGTGCGGAATACAGTTAATTGTGTGACCCTAACGTGTAAGCTCATGCGATATTCTTTCCCTGTGTTCGAATTCCCCTATACAGGTTTACTCTGATTAGATAAGTTAGAGTAAGTAAAACGACAATCACATTTTGGCGCCGCTGCCGGGGAAATTGATAATAGCATGGAGTGTTAGGTTTTAACTGCCGGTTGAAGTAGATGGGAAATAGGTAGCAGTCGCAGAAGAATATAATGAAAGAGTATGGTTATTAAGAATGAGAACTTAACAGTAAAGAAAATACGGCAGTCAAGAGAAAGAATAGAGAGATCGCAAGCAAGAAATTTGTTGCGAAACGAGCAACAAAGAAAGTTAAAAAGGAATCATAGACAAAGCTGGATTAAGCCATGGTTGCATGCCTGTCGTCATATTCGAGCATACCCAGAAGCTAATCGACATCTAATATTTCAGAAGTATATATCGTTAGAGAAATTGCCAAGAGCACTTGCTGAAAATTTGATCAATAGGCCAGGGTTTCTTCTGAGACCGTTAACTGAGAGTGGGGGAATCACAGAAGAGTTGGGTACTCCATTGGGTACGTTTCCAATAGCGGAAACTGCCGATTCCGTCAAAACTGGTTCCATAGAGTGGCATAAATTATTGGTCAATAAGGGCCAATTCAGTGTGTTTCAAAATCCGTCATTCTCACCTCCTATTCAACCAATAAACTTATTCAAGGATAATAATAGCAAATTGAGCAGGGTGGAAAGTTCGGAAAATATATTTAGGAGAGACGCAGACTATATTAACAAACGATTAAGTGTCACATTGTCAAATTCAATGACGACGGGAGGTCCAACGGTTCCCATAGCAGTACAAATGGGTACTGTGAGTGATCGCACAACTAGCGTGGCTCCATTACCTACCTTTAGGGGTTTTCCGGGTGCGGATCCAGATCAACATTTGTCGCAGTTTTTGACAGCATGTGTCGCCAATAATGGGAGAACCGAGGATATTTGGTTACGATGGTTGCCAGCAACCTTAAAGGATACGGCGTTTGAATGGTATAACCGTCAACCAATTAGTCAATTTTCGAACTGGGAAGCATTGAAGAATGCATTTTTGACCCGTTTTCGACCAATTGGTTTTGAAGACCGTCTTCGAGGAAGGTTAATGAACAGCAAAATGATCCTAGGAGAGGCGGTGGAATCGTTCTATGGCCGAGTGGCTGATATACTTAGTAAGTGGCCGAACCACCAAATGCCGGAGGCATTTATATTATCTATATTAATAAATGGTTTGCACCCACCAGAGCTAAAAATGTTTGTAAAAGAAGCTCAACCAGTTACGATATCTACATCCCTTGATAGAGCCAAGGTTTGGGAGGAATGCCATTATGATCAGTTTTTAACTGCGTGTGCCACGATGATACCAGTTCAAAGCAATTATCAATATCCGGCTTTGAACGGATCAGTGGGTAGTTATCCACAGATGATCGAAACAGTTGCCCAGTCAAGTGCCAATACTCAGGGGCCAGTTAATGTTACCCCATTGCAAGCTTTACCACCGCAAGTAACAACAGCGTATGCTCCATATTTTCCATATCAAACACACGAGTCAACTTTGGCGGAAAAACAAATAATATCAGCTTCAAAAGATTCCAATGAAGCCTTGTTATTGAACCTGACGAAGAAAATGGAGGAAATGGCCGTTAATATGGCCAAAGATAAGGAGAAGAGGCAAAAGCCAACCAATACTAGGACCAATGTATGGTGCAGTAATTGTCAGGGCCACGGTCATTTGGTAACGGAATGCCCGTCACCTTCACAAGTGTTGGGTAAATGTACATTTTGTGGAGGCAAGCACTTAACCGCTAATTGTTGGAATTTGCAAAGACAACAACAATTCAGTAATCCGACCATGATTCCACCAACTCCATGGGATGTCAATCAAGTTCAAATAGGAAATACGTTTGGATGGCATGGAAATCGATCTAACCGACAAAATCGAGCAGTCAATGATTTTCAGAATTCCACTTATAGTGAGGGGTTTGTATCAAATCCTCGGAACTATGGTAAGGAGCAGCATGGGTATCAGCCATATGCTCCATCGATGCCATTGAACCAAGTACAACCGGGACAACCAGGATCGTTTTCTCAACCTACATGGAACAAACCTAGTAGGTATATACCGGTGGAGACACCCAATATGCCTGATGGGGGTGCAAAAAGGCCATTGCGTTGTTTCCGTTGTAGACAGATTGGTCATTATGCCAATGAATGTCCCAATCCAAGAGCCAGTGACGATTATGCCCCAGTTTGTGGGAATTGCAAGCAGTCAGGGCATACGTATCAGCAATGTAATGCTCCATTCAATTTCAATAATCGGGATCAGCAGATCCAGAGTCCAGGAAAAATGGAGGGAATAAATCGAGGACCTCAAGACTCTCCAGTAAATCGGG